TGTGGAGTTTTGTAGGGATTTGACAAGCTAGATTCATGTTAGGTAGGCTTCTAATGCAATGTCTAGCTCTTGACGATATCTACAAGGTGGCTGAATATGAAGAGGTAAATATCGAGCTCAGTGGCGTGCTATTGGAGCGGCCTCTGTCTAGCAGTGGACTTAAACAAACAAATAATGATGAAAGTGCATATATAGACTTAATGATATAAAACCCGAGTGGCAGCAAATCGTTAGGTACCCAACACAATAGTAAATAACACGGGTAGTTACCTACGTGGAGATATTCTTTTCAATTTATTCAACATGTTTAATTTTACTAGCGCCCATTTAGGCATGCTAATTTTAGGCGACCCATAATCGAATCGATAACTGCAAATTGAGCTAAACTTTCGATCATGGTCAGATTACACAAATCGAGCGGGTCCAGCTAACAAAAATACATGTTGAGACTGATTAAAAGAATTGCAGGAGATATAAAAGAAGTCTTCAATAACAATTATTATGAGCAAAGCAATGAATATTTAATAAAAACTTTATCCCCTTGAACAAGAGAGAACAACATTTGTTATCTCACCCTCGTTACTGCGAAGTTTCTTGTATCTTAACGTTCTCCCAACGTTACACAGCTTCTCGCGATGTAATCATTGTCCGAATTGAAGGTTGCAAACCGTACGGGGCGTGCCTAATTCGTACAGGTACAATTTTTCAATTTAAGTACAAAGGATACAAATAAAACAACCTTTCAAATGTTAACTACGACTGTAAGCTCACGATCAAAGGGCAGAAGAATCAACAATAATTACCCTAGCGAATCGAGTTTACGTTTTAACTGAGCATGCAGCGGAAGGCGGTCGAAGCACGGAGCACCATAATGTACGGCCAGTCAGTCGGGTTAGTGGCATGCATATGACGAATCGCGACTTGAACCGAGTGCATGACAGTTCAGTCACACCGATTAATTTGCCAGGAACCACCGGCGCGTGGAGCCTCGCCCACAGACCGCCTGGCAAGACAGGATTAGCTACACTTAGATCTAAAGACAACGGCCTTGTACAATCGCACAGATGTAATTGAGTTTCGTTGATTGAGATACATTTATTATAATGGAAATTACTCCCTCCCACTGTGCGCCCTTTATTTCGTTCGTTTAACTTCACGTTTAGCTACAATAAATAGAGCATGACTACACAGTTATTCCTTTATTTTAGGGTGTAACTTGATATTGCGTAGCGGGTCAAATATAAGCTAGTCAATATCATTTTTTCAGACGAAGCAAAACACAGTTGAAACATTTCTTTGTCTCAATTTTACAACGAAGCTTTATTTCCCTCGCGCTCATTCTCATTCTGTCAATCAAGCAGACAATCAGCACGCACGTAAGTAATTTTACTCCGAGATCTTGTTACTTCAACTAGTGTTCACTGTTCGCCGCCGACATTGACGAAAATCTCATATATCAAACTAGTGCGAAGTTTGTGCTACGCGAATATACGGTTGAGCGTAGATTCACAATATATTTGTACACATAAATTGTACGTTATATCTGACAGTGAGATATATTTCGGTGTCAATTTCCCTTTTACCGAACCGATAAGCGAGGGATCAGACTCCTGCTAACCGACCTGACGAAGCAGTTATGTTTTTTGTTGGTTGCTCTAGCTCACGTTACTCGTAAATCGTGATTCGAATAGTATTGTATTGTGGGCGGTTACGCATGCTGTACCGTTGTAGTAATGTTTACCGTGTTCATTCTTAGCTGCCAATACTCGTTTATCGCTATCTCTTATTTTTACAATGTAACAACAACCTACGGAAGCAAATATTTAGATAGTTTTTATAGAAAAACGTTTATGCTGCATCATTATCACCAGCGCACTGGGCAATTCACATTTCCATAAAAGTGTTGACAAAGGTTGCGCAAGCGGCGTGGCGCGGCGACAATTGCCCGGCGGCCCGGATGACATCACTGCCCTGCCTCCACGGCACCGCACCATCTCTGCATAGTGTCATATATCGATGTTGCAACATACATCGGTAATACATTAATTTGGGCCGTCCATTTGTAATTATCTCCGCTCTGGTGAACTTGTTTTATAACATTTACATTACCGTTTCTCTTCATTGATATAAATAACTGATAGTTTCTCCTATATGGTGCCATTAAACCGTAACCTTATATTACATCCAATGACATAAAAGTTGAGGTTATTCGAAAGTAAAACCGGTAGTAACACAAAGTTAAACCAGTTATTCCCTTATTTCTCGATGACACCAATAAACGAAATGAAAATTCGAAATTATAGCCGTATAATTTCGACTCCTGTAGGCAAGTAGCATAAGACAATAATTGAGTCATACCTTAATTAGTATGAAGTACCAATAAACTGAATCTAAACGATCGTTTACACATATTGGTTGTGTACCCCTATTATCAATTTCTTTTAAATTGGCCCTTATATTTATTTCAGTAACAGCTGCTATCGATTTACGAGCCAATTAAAAAGCTGTAAGGATTTATCGGTTCACTCGTAAATTGTAATTGTATCAAATATTTGTTGACACTTCGTTATATCGAAGCTACGGTCAACTTTGTTGACTATTTGTCAAACTTCCTAAACCTGTTCAGCGGTGGAATGGGTTTGGAACTTTGAAGTTTAGCGGTAATCATAAATCGTTTAAGATTAATATTAATAAATTAGTTTTCGATACACCTTTCCTCAATATACTTTGATGATATTGAGGAAAACCGCGGACTTCCCAAAGTATTAATTAATTTAATCTCGTTCCGTCTGTTTCTCTCAATTCATTTTTATTGCCTTTTGGTACTTTTATGGCACAGCAACAACATAGTTCTAAAGCATTTTAAATACAAGTAGGCACATTTTATAAATAACTATAAGGTACTATGGAAACTGAAGGTCGCACAGAAGTTTATTATTCCACCATAATCCATGTCTTGTGTCGAAAGCACAAGCTAAAGAGCAACATTACGTGGTTATACAAATAATGATTCACGCATGCTAACTGACATGAGCTCATACTGAATCATTACCTACACCTTGAATTAAACTCATCAGAAATATAGCGTTAAAATCCTCACACCTCGACCGCCTAAAGCGAAAGCACTGGAATGAAATATATAGCAATTAACTCGTTCAAAAGTGTATATAACGGCTGTTTACAGTAAACGTGGAAGCTAAAAGCGCTTTACATAAATTTAGAGCCGCTGCAAACCAAAGGGAATTGCGAAAGTTTTCGGAATGAATATGCGAGGAGGTTTTAAATGGTAGCTGGTGGTGGCGCCGGTTGGACCGATAAGCGGCCCGTTACACTCGAATCGTTTTGCACTTGCACCCGACTGCACACGATGTTAATATGTTACAACCTCCTGTTCATGACACCCGATAATGTACGCATTTTCTCCCGATATTTTCCCAACGGTATTACTTTCATTAAGCTTTTGTTTTCACGTCGACGTTGCATTTCGCTGGCATTAATATTTAATCTTTCCGTGGTTGAAGCTCATAAAGAAAACATTTCTCTGTAAATCTTCGATGTGCAATAAAAGCTTTAATTGTACGGGTTCTGAATGGTTTTCCCTGTGGTTCTTGAATCGATTTATGCCTTGAGTGATCTTTAATTGCTTTCTGTGACATGGACACGCATTATTGAATGTATTTTATGTCAAGTTTCTACAACACCCGTCTGATTTTATTCAATTAAACTGTATGTACCGGATGAACAGTACCATAAATAGTCATAACTTGGTACTACATTATAAAATGCTAACAGTATGTGTAACAATAGTCAATGCATCTAATTCTCGCCCTATTCGTCTAGATGACATCATTGTTCACAAACGCCAGCTTAAATTAGAGATAAACCATAAAAGTTATATGGATCGCCTTTATTATTCATCCTTTATCGAATTGAATACAAATGAGTTCATCGCCAGTCCCTTTGCTGTTCCTACAAGTGACTATTATAATAAAATACAATCTAAATTTTTATTCTCTTTGTCCCTTACGCGGAAAGACGAAAGCAGAACTTAAAACAGTACCTGATCAGAATTTATTATTACTTCAAATACTTACCTTACTTGCTTTTCTCTTCTAAAAATATTTTCTTCTACGATCCTGAAAATATTGATACAATCGTCGGGCTTGGAAAGCGGATTACTAAGCGCATTATGTTGTTATGACTTCGTGGTGACTTCTGCCCACTCTATGCTTAATAATACATTCGGAGACTACAGAGGTGTCCGTGTTCAAAAGTCGCAGCTACAAAACATGGAGTAAACCAGTCCCGTGTCCGTTAGGTCACATTGAGAACAATAACTTAAAATTATAGGTAGTTATAACCGAACTCTGAGAAGAATAATATTCTGCAATAGTTCTAAGAATTTCAACTGCCTCTATTCGAGTAGCATCTGTTACCAGCAAACTTCACCTCCGCTTCTACAAAGCAAATAGTTATCAGAAACTATATTGCAATGATTTTATTCATAGCGTAGTTATTGTATAAGTGGGTCAGGATTGAGCCAGCCCGGGGTAAAGTTGGCAGGCAACGGATGCAGCGCCGAGAAGTCGACTGTCCAACAAACTTGTAATAAAGCCACGGACGAACGCTAAATGCTATTTGCTGTGTTGAACAAAGGTTTGTTTTGTATGCGAACACACCAACGGCACCTTTGTTGTATGACAATACCCTCTAAATGAAATATTAAAGTAAAATAAATCCTTGAGCAAATTAACGTCCTCTTCAATATTTATTATTCTCTGAAGTTTATGTCTGAGTACGTAGTTTAAAAGTCTTGGAGACATTAAGAATTTTTGCGATCACAAATCTAAATTTTTCTTAAAAGTAAGCTTCAGACTCATCAATATAAATTAAAATTAAGGGTACCTCAAGATTAATTCCATTCAAAGGCAGCTATAAATTTTCGTGTTAATTTCTAAAAAGATCTCATTTACATAATGCCGTTTTCTTTATCTTTTCAGGTCAAAAAAGTTCCTGTAACGCCGTCCATTGCGGCTTTAATTTAAACAAGTAAGTGTTATTGAACGATCTTTTGTTATAAATTAATTTTCTACTCGAATATTATCGCTATGAATATTTAGAAGTGTCTGAAGGTCTGAGTTTATTTAAGTTAATTCTCATTTCGTTCTCTATACAATTAGTTTTGTTGACTTTAGGTAAGTTTGGGAGGAGATATTTATTGAATACTTGTGCTTAGAAACTATTGCTGTGGTTTTGGGATATAAGGCCAGGGTCAGTGCTTAGCCACTACTGAGAGGGCGAAATACGACGGACTCTCGTTTAGATCTGAAACAAATGGCTCGTACTCGCCCAGACAACTAAACCTTTCTACCAAATCAATAAAACAGTCTGGATGTACTTCAGATATATATATTTCCTAGTATATAATCTCGGCTTTTATTTACCGGGAATTACACCAATCACCATATAAATTACATTTGTCTACTTTTATGTTAGGAATATTACTAGATGTTGCCCGCTACTGCGTTCGCGTGGAATTGTGATGCACAGCTCCTGTAGATGATAGCGTGATATTATGTAGCCTATATGTGGACCCCACCTGTTAGTAATATTCATGCAAAATTTGAAGTAAATCCCTGCAGTACTTTTGGAGATCATCCCGGACATACATACAGAAAAACAGACAAAAATTCTAAAAACAATATTTTTGGCTTCGGTATCGATAGTAGATCACGCCTCAAGTATTCTTATTAAAATGTATTCAATGTACATTTTTGACTGTTCTACGATTTTATTATATGTATAGAATAGTATAGATGTATTGGCTATGTGCGAAGCGGCGGCGGAAGTAGTGGCGGACAGATAACGACTGCAGCGCACAACACGGCAGGAATTGGAAACAAATGGGGATGATCAGCTGTCAAATGTGTTGATTGCAGTACAAAATCAAAGTAGAGAAATGGACCATGGCTCGTATTAAGTAGCTCTGGCCGTTATGTCGCAGTTCTTCCACATTCCTTACGTGCTCGGCTAATACTAACTTATTGCCTTTTGTCTCAGTTTTTGGTTGGAAACTAATATTATGTGTTATTACACACCGGGTTTTATTATTATATTCATTTTACAGTAAAACTATTGAATAAATTGCTCTTAAATAATGTCAACAATAGTATTTTAATTTTTATTTATATTTGCAAAGAAAATTATAATGTTTACATTGTTATTATTTGACAGCTTCCGCAAATGTTGTAAACGCTACGCGTCGCCACCGTCGTGCACATAGCCAATAGTTTAACACAATGTAGACTTGTAACCACTCAACCATTGTCTAGGTATACCTCTGTTATTATATTCATTTTACAGTAAAACTATTGCACTTATATAATGTCGACAATACTATTTTAGTTTTGGTTTTATTTATACCTAATTGCAAAGAAAATTATAATGTTTACATTGTTATTATTTGACAGCTTCCGCAAATGTTGTAAACGCTACGCGTCGCCACCGTCGTGCACATAGCCAATAGATTACTCAAATTTTAATTTACAATTGCCTCGATCTACGAGGCAGTACATTCCACCCATCTATTATGTTAATTTTTAACTCCATTTCACTAACGTTTCGTAGAACACCAATTACAATGTATGCAGTTAACGTTTTCGTTATTGTAACCTCATAAAATCATTAAACGCCATGTTACACTCGTGGGTACCAATTGAAACTAACTACGCACATCTGTGTGTTCCATTTAAATATGGGCCACAATGCGACATAAATTACAGCAGATTGGCAAGACCGTTCCTTTCGTATTACCTATCTATTTACAATATTTTCTGCCACAGGACTTGTCAGTTCATTAGTACGTTATGAATCAGGTTATTGAACTGTACCATTCTTATAGGATGTGTCATTGTAACATTGGGATGGACGATCGTGACCAACGTTTGTTTGGTCAAACATTGGACCAACATCCAACATGAAGGAGTATTAGGTTTCGCGGTACGGAATGTCGCAGTTCCGCGCAGTTCTGCGATATTCTAGTCGTATGCTATACTCACTTACTCCAAAGCACTAAATCTCCAGCTGCCATGACGACCGGTACTGCACTGCTTCATGGGTTAACGGCCTTTCACCCTTCTTATTCTTTTTCTGTCTGCCTGCTAATTGCTGAATCCGTTTTAGAAAATCTCTTTTATCTCACCAATAACAAAATTTCTGCATTGTTCAGTCCAGACATTTTCTAATCTCTCTTAATTTCCAAATAAAAATTGTAGGTATCATTTTAAAACCGTCTTAACTTCTTTGTCGTCTAATAAAAAAGTACATTAAACCCTGTGCTTATGATATCAGAACACAAATGTGGGATTTCGTTTAATAAAGACTATCGTAAATCAGTTTAATGGCGTCTGAATATAATGTCCAGTATCGCTGCAATATCCCACTAATGTGCAAAATGCAGCTCAGATTCCAACACGAACGAACGAAGCTCCTTTTCCAAATTGCACTCACTAGTACACAAATATGGCATGTGTTAAAAAATGCAATCAAAATACGATCGTAGATTGCAGAATGATTGAAGTTGCTTGACAATTTTGAGGTGAAGGTGATGATCCACATTGACACATCTCACTGACCTCAGAACACATCAAGATATTCCGTTCAAGGTTAAAATAATTATCATTTGCTGCTATTTCTGTGTTCGGCTTTTTCCCAATGTTTCTGATTACACAAACCGCGTTTATCGTCTCAGTTACCACGGAATTACAATTTTCTAGATACATTTAACAGGTATAATCTCGTAGGATTTTCCTACATGTGTCCCAGAATCCCAAATGATCCTAATATCTATATGTAAATCAGTGTCGGTCGTAGGCAACGCTGCCTGGGTTCAGCGCTTCGTCTAGACAGGCATTGTACCGGTATTCGTAATTACCTGCCTAATTTGCACATTACTGTATCGTACTCATAAGATCGAAATGTTTAATGGTAATTGTGGTACATACTTAGGCAAATTGCAGTAGTTTAATTAAAACAAATGTTAAAATATTTTTACAGAATGGACTGCCACACAGACCAAAACCTTTCCAGAGAAATTGCAGTTGTTCGTCAATTTTATTTCCTAAATTCGTTAAAGGTACAATTTAGCGAGATCAGTAACTCGATAAATCGGGATAACGACTCGCTCTCATTGTTCTTAAAAAATCGGGTTCGATTCAAATACTTTTCAATTCGGACGCTTTTGCTCTACACGGTTGATTTACTTTTTGTGGACGTTCGAAAGGAATTTCATTTCATCAAATCTAACTAATATCTGACGCGTAACATCAAATAAGCATTAAACACACATCAATTTGGACGTGAATAAAACTTGAATGCTGGTTGATAACAATCTGTCTGTAGCCAGACAAATAAATCGCCGTTCCCCGAAATGTCTGGCCATAAAGGGAGAGGTGTTTTGGGGCCAGTGTCGTGTAAATCACAGTCTGGTGCAGTCTGTGGCCGGCCCCCTGCGTACACATGCCAACAATATTGCAGATTTGCCTGGCGCAAACGACAAGCGTACACCCGAAGGACAATGTTGGCTATTACGTGCACTCATCTCAAGTGTACGATGCTCTAGTTTCGTTTTATACGGCCACATCTTTCCGTCGTGAAAGCTTAGTGTCTGTCTTAGAAAGCTGAATCTCTTTTTTGCACAACAATGATCGCCATAACACTTAAAAAACTTCTGATATTGTCGAGCACGTAAATAAAAGCAAGATTCTTTTATTGAACGAAACTATTGTGGTACCGATATTGAATGCATCGAGAAATGTTGTAGAAAATCGACCAGCAGAAATGAATGAATTCTTGAGTGTTGTACGAAATTGAGTTTCAACTGGATTATACTGTAATGCGATTGCTTGCAAGCCAACCGATACTGTACTGACCTAAAAGTCATTGACGTCATTTGCTTCTTCGTGATTGTGAAAATAGGTACTCAATATTCCTTGAATTATCTGCATAATAACAATTCTTACTACAAACATCCACTTCGTAGGTAGCGAAATCTTTACGGGATTACAATCTGGATACCTAGACATTAAGGGAATACGTTGTAAGATTATTCACCGAATACAAATCATGTTATAATTCAGATCCCGCCCCTTCCATTTTGGTTTCGTTCGACATAATGGCATTGTAGTCAGTACGAGTATTTCAACATTCTTCGCGCGAACTCTCTTACGTTTTGCCTTATTTAGGAAGTTTAATCTTCTTTGTCTCTAATTTACTGAGCTCTAAAGACGACTTTGTGTTAACTTTCTGCTCCTCCGTCGCCATTTACGTAGTCTGATATGCAGTAGTATCGCGTTTGTTGAAATAATATGCCCGTTACTTTATATACAGTCGTGTTATTGTAGGAAAGTGCCAATGCCAATACTACTCAAAGCATTTTGCTCTAGGCAATAAATAAATCGATTTTTGAAGAAAGACAGGCTTCACACAATATTCTATTCCTACCCAATTCTATTATGCCTCTAGAATAATATCGTTCTTTTAGATCAATATATATCTTCTAAAACCATAAAATGGTAGACGAGCAGATACGTTTAGGCTATAAAACGGCAGTTTCTCTAAGACACGTCTAAGCGGTGTTCGGAAAGTTTCGTAGATTTATGTCCAAAACATTCAGATTTCCTGGCTTTTTGCACCAATACGTTCGTGTGGATTATTTACTTCTTTAGTATAGACATCCTATTTAAAATTAAAATCACTCGGCCGACTGTTATGATAGAAGCGACCCGTAAATTCGCACTCGTGTAACAGTAACATCCTCCATTGTGTTATGATCTCTGCCAGAGATACAAACCGCTTTTTGCTCCAGTTTATTTAAAATTTATTCACAACCTGACCCGAATGAAGTCTACCTTAATTAATTCCTCATTTCCGAGCTTAGTTTAACTAGTGCTATGAATGTATCTAGTCCAGTTCCACTGTTTAATTATAAAGAAATTATATTCATTGCGGCCAGTATAAATATTTGTTAATCCGTGCGCCAACAATATATT